AACGAGGGATATTTGGGATAATTTTTTTTTTTTTTTTTTTTTTTTGTGTAAAAATTCTTTGTAAAGAATCATTGATCCAATCTATCTATCGATTTTATTTATTTATTGCTAACAAAGTTTACATATGATTCATAACACAAATTTAAACTTCAAGCTTTATGTTTATCATGTTTCAAAATTTTTAAAACTTTTTTTTTTTAAAACTTATTTTGGTATTTTCACACGCCAAATAAACAGATGAAATTTCATATAACGCATATAACGTTTTTTTTATAATGATTATAATGATTATAACAACAATAATATTTAATAACAATTATTGCGTAATAAATATAATATCATGATAAATAATTTGTTTATTAAAGAAAAAAAAAAATTAAACTATCGTCCCGTAATTAATTAAGAAATTTACAATAGGGAACACAAAAAAAAAAAAAATAATAAAAAAAATAAAAAAAAAAGTTTAAAAAAATTTTTAGTTAATTTTGGTAAACAAATTCCTTTTCAGTAAATAAAAGTTCAATATTAACTGGTCGTAATAAAAATTGAGATTCTAATATCAACTTTTCTTTGTTAATACTATCTTTTGGAAGTGTCCATTCGTACTTGAGTACTAAATTAAAAAAATTGATATAACATTATCATATAATTGATAATAAAAATATATTTGTTAAAGACATTATATTTTAATAATAAATAAAATGAACTTACAAAACATGGAAAGTATAACTCGTTGTTCCATTAAAGAAAAATTTTGTCCAATGCTAAGAATAAATAAATAAATAAATAAATCAAGTAATTAAAATAAATAAATAAATAAATAAATAAAGTCACAATCTGACCTCTCCATAATGTTTATGGTGACACTGAAAAACAATACGTACCAGTTCCTATGCCCAGCAGAAAATGGGATCCAGGAAAATGGATGTCTTTTTTCATTTATCAAAAACCTATCGGGATTGTATTGATTTGGATTTTCCCAGTATTTAGGATTATGATGGATTTGCCATATATTCGCGATACACAAGTTATCTTTAGGTACAACGTAAGATCCAACTTTAATCGGTTTTGATGGTTTTCGAAGATTTATTAATGTAGTTGGTGGATGAATTCGTAAAGATTCCTTAATAATTGCATTAACGTAATTCATTTTCTAAAAAAAAGATTGAGTGTTCGGAAATTGCAATGAGAATATTAGAAGATGTCTGGAAATTGTTTAAACCGTCCGGAAGATGTACCGAAATATGAATACTTATGGTATTATTTCAAGGGTACTTACTTTTAATTGTTCTGAAGTTGGTATAGTTAATTTATCCCCAAGTATATTAATTACTTCCGATCTAGCTCTTTCTTGTATTTCCTATTCAAAATAAAAAATAATATTATCCCAAAATCATACAATATATATATATATAATTATCGACTTACGGGATATTTTGCAAGATAATAAAGTGATACAGTTAATGCAACCGCCGTGGCTATTAAAAAAGACCAAAATGTTACAATTTAATTACTACAACCCAATTACTACGATTACTAAAAAATTACTACAACCCAATTGTTAAAATTCAACTTACTGTCATGACCCGCTACGAAATTATTTACCATCTCATCCCTTAATTGTTTGTTATCAGTATTAATTCCTTCTTGTTTACTATATTCTAACATTTTAGTTAATAAATCATTACTATTTTCTTTATTATTAATTTTATTATTATTCATTTCATCCTTCTTCTTTTCTATAATTTCATAAATAAAATTATCAAATTCTTTAATAGCGGCAAGGAATTTTTTATTTGATTCCAAAGGTAATTTATTTATGAATGGAAATATAATACGAAGAGGAGATTCAACGAATGAAATAATATATTTATAAACATTTATCATATGAGGAATTTCAAGTGATTTCAAACACTAAAAGATAGAAGATCAAAAATTATTTCCATGATTTCCCTGATAATGGAAGGGAGTCCGACACGAAATCTCGAAACTCAAAATCCAGAATCGGGATTATGCTTAATGACAGCTTTTTGACATTCGGGATTTGTAAGGACCCATCATGATTCATGGAGATACAAATCGACATAAAAAAAAAAAAAATTGACTTACATTAAATTGATGACCGAAGGCCATTTTTCCCAATATTTCAATCGTAATACGTTGCAATAAAATAAAAATATCGGTCGGTCCACTTAAATTCTTTTCCATAAACGTGAAAAGTTCCATAGTAGTTTCACCAATCATATCAGTACGTAATGCGCTATTAAATGCAGGAGTTGCTAATTTTCTATAGGTTTTCCATAACTAAGTCAAGTGGATAAGTGGTCAAGTGGAATTGGTGGTCAAGTGGATAAGTGGATAAGTGGATAAGTGGATAAGTGGTCAAGTCAAGTGGTCAATATTAAAATGAGTATATTAAAATTTTATATTATACATACGTCACCATTAGAAAATGGTAATCCCTTCCCAAAAAAATCATAGAAAACGCTCCCAGGATGAAATTCAATTTTTGGTGCGACATCCTCTAATCAAGATCGTTATAGTTTTAAAATTTTGGTTTTACTCTATGTAAATCTTTGAACTTCATCACATTACCTGATGCCATTAGTAAATCTTTTACACATTCGGGACTTACAAAATTAATTTGCTTAAATGGACCAAATCGAGTCTAACAAAAAAATAAATAAAGTTTAAGAAAATACTGCGCGTGCGGCTAATTTTGTGGCTAGACCACGACAGTTACGATAGTTCACGACATAAAAATCATAAATATAATTTTTTTTTTCATGAGGAAAAAAAAGGTTAAAACTTGTTCTACCAAATATATTTCATGGTCTCCTGATGTTTTTGACATAATTTCTTCAACTTCATCATGAGGCTTTTGTCTTATCAATGCCCACATTAATGGTAATCCGGAAACATACGGAATATTTTCAGATTCTTTCGGTATTTTATTAAAATTATAAACATAATGAATAATAATAATTAAAAGTACAGTAAAGAATATGATCAAAAACATGATTTAAAATTGTATTTTTATTATTTTATGTATTTTTATGTATTTTTATTGAAATAAAATAATTTGAAAGTTTTGAAAAAAAAAATTTTTTTTTTTTAAAAAAAAGCTGATATTATATATATCAGATATTTCAAATCATGATCATCAGATTCATTTAACTCATCTAATTTTAATATTAAAATGTGAAATATTGTGAAAATAACGGGAAAAGACAAAAAAGAGTATATAAAAAGTATAAAAAAGTATAAAAAAGTATAAAAAAGTAAAAAAGTATAAAAAAATATAAAAAAGTAAAAAATATAATAAAAAGTATAAATAAATAAATAATAATAAAAAAAAAAAAAAAAAAAAAAAAATAGAAAGAAAAAAGGGTGCAACCAAAAAATCATAAAAAATCAACCGCTTGTTACGTACATCAATTAGGTTCATTCTACCATTCTACCATACATCAAATATTTCAATTTATTGGCCGAAATTATTAAATTTCTATTGTTTCAAATTCAAACAAATAGTTTCCAAATATACATTCATTCATAAAAAAAAAAAAACCGGATGTTACTGATATAATTGGAAACCGACCAAATAGATAAGAAATGGGTTAATCTTTAATTAAACTCATAGAAACTTTATAAATAACAAATCTAAAATCTTTTTTTTCATAAGGCGGTTTTAAAATATGGTCGTACAAAACTTTATACATAATAAGATTGTTTCTATTGGTTCGCAGATTATTTAACACACACCGGGGTAACTTTTCGGAAATTCCAACATTTTTTTCTATGATATCCTAATTTCCTGTTCTATAAATTTCATTAATAATAATAATAAATAATAATAATAATAATATTTATAATCACAAAATTTATTATAAAAAGAATTTTTTGATTTAAGAAGTAGATTTTATCCAGAAAATAGAAAATTGGGAATAATACAAATGAATAAAATGGATTGTATTATAATGGAATACAGATAACCGGGTAAAAGATACGTTGGTATTGTTTCAAAAGGATTACAAATTATTATTTCATGTTATCATAATATCATCATACATCATACATCAAAAAATCTTTTTTGAAAGAAGCGTCCATTGTCTGCATGCAACACAGCATTAATGAAACAAAACAAAAATTCATTTATTACCAAAGATCTAAAAATCATTGTTTTTTTTTGTTTATTCCCCGTTACTCAAAAATAAATAATTTGTTTACATTATACATGAAAGAAATGGGCACTGTGACCAATAAGCACCATCAATCTTTTACATCCTAAACCTTAATCTTTGGAACCCTGGTTAATCATTAAGGGGGATACACTTTCCATTTATACTATTTTGGGTTTGTAAAATATTGTTTTACTCCGCTTATTTCCGTCTAATTTTTTTTTATTATTGTTGTTTAAAATATAGAAATCCGAGGATATATACTAGTTGACTATCTTATGATATTATTACTTAAAATACAAGGGCTAAAATAATTTATACAATGGAATTGTTATGTATCGATTTACGACTGGTTTTTGATTTAATAATAAGGACTCAAATAAAAAATAAAAATAAAAATAAAATAAAATTAAAAACAAAATAAATTAATTTTTTAATAAAATAAATAAATAAATAAATAAATAAAAAAACATATTTAAAAAACTTTTCCTATAAAAAAAAAAAAATGATTGAACTTCTCTTTTATGTTAGTGTAATAATAGTGGGATATCATATTCTAAAAAGACTTTTATCACGACCAAGTAAACTAAATGATTTTGAAAGAATTCCATCAATGCCTACATTAAAATTTATGTGGGCTATGATTAGGAAAAAACCTCAAGATGAGATACAAGAAATTATATCAAGAGTTCCCCATGAAGGAATTCTTAAGGTAATTTTATCACGTTTTTAAAATATAAAAATGGAATATTTTTATATGGAATTATTAAATGTCATATCTTATTTTAGGCCAACGCTGGTACCATAACTTTCTTCTATTTTCAAGATGTTGAATATATAAAGCAATTTTTAACAAAATCAGGTAATTATTTTTTGATTTTTTTTCCTTTTTTTATTTATCATGGCAAAAAAATAACCAAATAAATACATAAACATTACAAATGTAGAGGATGCCCTTCCTAAAATGCAACATAATTTAGGAAATAGAGTAAAAAGTTTTTACGGTAACGGTATCCTTTTTTCGAATAGTAGCGTAAGTATAAATAACAAATAAAGTTTTTTAATTTTAATAATTAAAATATTTTAAATAACAAAACCTTTTTTTTTTTATATTTTTTTTTTAGACGTGGCGCATGCAAAGAAAATTGGCCAATGCTGCGTTCAATCGAGCCTTGTCACATGATGTCATCGGCGAAAATGCTTTCAAATTATTCAACTTGATGGATTATAATTTGAATATCCCTATAAATATTTATGATATGATGCAACGTACAACAATTGAAATATTGGGTCAAGTCGCTTTCGCTTATAAATTTGGTGTAAGTTATTATCCTAATTTAAAAAAGGATACTACGGATACTAATTTATATTTACATATTTGTACATATTTATTTATTTTTTTTTTTATTTTTTTTTAGGGGTTAGATTCTTTTGAGACTCCCGATATAATCAAATCATATAAATATATCATGGATCAAACCGAAAATCAATTACATATTTTATTCCCTATATTGGATAAATTACCATTAAAATCAAATAGATTATATAAGGAAAAAATGAATGAATTTGATAATTTTATTTTAAATATAATCGAAAAAAGAAAGAGAGATTTATTTAATTTAAATTATCAAAATAAAATAGTAAAAGAATCCGAAAATAAGGATTTATTAATGAGTATGTTAGAAATGAGTGAAAAAGAGGGAATTAAAATTGATTCTCATGAATTAAGAGATAATTTAGTAAATTTCTTTATTGCCGGCCATGATAGTAAGTATATATTTTTATAATCAATTATCCCAAATTTTTCCTCTTTTACTTTTTTTACTTACAAATAAATTTTTTTTTTAGCCACCTCTCTAAATATCAGCGTGGCTATCTATCACCTCGCTAAATATCCTGTAGGTTTAAATTTAAAAAAATATTTTATCTATTCAATGTCTAGTGGTTAATTATTAATTCTCCTTTCTTTCCTTCCTTTTAGGAAATGCAAAAGAAAGCTAGAGATGAAGTTATAAGAGTTCTTGGAAATGAATTAAATATCCCAACACCAGAACAATTAAAGGTAAATATCATTTATCATCTATTATTTATATATACAGTTTATATGTATATTAATAAAAATAATTTTTTATTTTAGGAATTAAAATATATTAACGCAGTCATCAAAGAATCATTACGTACACATCCTCCATTAGCAATTTTAATTCCACGTCAGCCAAACGATTACGTTCAAGTTGGTCCATATATTATTCCTCCAAAATCTTATAATTGTGTCAATGTTTGGCACGTTCATCATGATCCTAAAATTTGGAAAAATCCAAATCAATGGGATCCTGAAAGATTTTTAAATGGTGAAAAGAGACACCCTTATTCTTGGATTCCTTTCAGTGGAGGTCCAAGAAATTGGTATGTAATCAAATTATTATTAAAAATGTAAAATTGTAAAATCGTATAAATTTCTAAATAAACTTTATATAATATATAGTGCCGGTCAAAACTTTTCTTTAATGGAACAAAGAGTTCTTATAGCCATGATACGTAAGTAATAAAATTTATTATCATCAAGTTTTTTTTATGATCAAATATTAACATATTATATTTATAAAATTTCTTTAGTTCTTAAATATGAATGGACTCTTCCAGAAAACAGCATGCATAAAGAAAAATTTTATTTAGATTCCAATTTCTTACTTAAACCAAAAGATTTAAGTGTAGAAATTCAATTTAAACGAAGATTATAAAAAAAAAAGAAAAAAAAAACAAAAACAAAAAATAAAAAATTTTCATAAAACTTTTTTTTTTTTTTTTAAAAAAAAAAAAAAAAAAAAAAGACAAAACATAAAAAACTTTTTATAAATAAGACAAAGATTACATCAAAAAAGAAAAAATTTTTTTAAATACTTTTTATAAATACAAGCAGTATAACATTATAACAAAAAATTCAAAACTTTTTATAAATACTTCATAAATCATTTTTTTTTTATTTTTTTTGTTTTTTGTAAAATATATTTTTTTATATTTTTATTTTATTTTTTTTATATTTCATTAATTATATTCATATAATAGTAGATAAAATCTATTATTAATAAAAAAAAAAAAAGATCATTTTGAATGTAGATAATCTACATAGAAATTTTTTTCGTGCATAATGTATGTGCGTTGGATTTATGCGCAAATGTTTTATTATCCTCGTGTTCTGAGCCAATAATATAAATTGGGGTAGCGCAAAGCGTGGCGTACATTAAATCATTAAATTGTAATTATGCTTACTTTCTCATATAGTGCACATGATTCCAAGGCCCTTGAATTCTATTTCCGAGATAGCAGTATCGTGACGAGCTTTTAAGTGATTCTGAGATAGCAGTTTTACGTTAAAAAAAAATTCATAGTATATCACACATAATAATTTATTTTGTAAAGAGAATCGTACATAATCGTACAAAATATTCTGAAACGTTATCTACAAACGAAGACGCTCGAACCTAATTCAAATAGTTCTTCTATTCTTTGAGTTTTCGAATCTTTCTAATCCCATGTATAATCTGCATGAGCAACTCTCATGTTGTACAGGGAAAAGAAACGAGAATCAGCCATTTATTATTTGACCTTTGCTTCTCCCCAAACATATGGAAACTTGTGACTATTCAATCCATTCACGCGATCGTCATCCAATAAAATCGCATCATTTGTTTCTAAGCTTCCATTTCGTAATATAGATCGCAAAATTAACGCATGAAATTTTCTTTAGTCGGTCAAAAAATTGTCTGACAAACGATCATGAATGTAAAATAAAAATATTGAATATACACTAGTTTATTTCAAACTAAAAAAATTTTTATGCATAAATTAATCTTTTTTTTTTAAGCTAAAATTCTTTAATTAAAAATCCAAAATTTCGTGCAATGAATTATTAACAACGTCTATTAAGGACGATCTTAAAAGAGTTATTATAATATGCCAAATATGAACATCTATTCAAGGATTTTCCACTTCCAAGTTTTTCAAAGTTGTTAATTATTACGCTATATATGCAATTTTTTATATACCAATAATTCTTTGCGTGGACGTCCCAAATTTTCCAAATTTGATAGACGATAAAAGAGCTATGAATAAATATTTATAATATGCCAAATATTCTTCGCGTGGAAGGATTTTCCACTTCAAGTTTTTCCAAGCTGTTAATTATTACGCTATATGTGCAATTTTTTATATACCAAAAATTCTTTGCGTGGACGTCCCAAATTTTTCAAATTGGATAGACGATCCTAAAAGAACTATAAATAAATATTTATAATATGCCAAATATTCTTTGCGTGAACATCTATTAAGGATCTTCCACTTCCAAATTTTCCAAATTAGATAGACGATCTTAAAAGAGATATGAATAAATATTTATTACATGACAAATAGTGAACATCTATTAAGGATTTTCCACTTACAAATTTCCAAGTTGGATAGACGATTAACGATCATTACGCTACATGTGCAAAAATAGTGATCGGAATTTTTAATACAGGAAAAAAAAATTGGCACACGATTACACGCACAGTCAGGTCCACCACCCGATAAGTGATTTTAGTTACAGCACGTCAACGGTTTACATATCTGCCAGATAACTAGCAAAGCATAAATGCCGATGGAAGTACGTACTCGACGTGACACAATTACGGGAGATAAACTTGATGACCCCGCAAGTACCCGATAAGTGACTTTAGTTATGCGAGTAAACCTTTTACACTCGAAATACAATCAGGGTCAGGACTTCAACGGTTTACATATCTTGACAACTAGCAACGATCATAAATGCCGATGAAAGTACGGACACAGTTACAGGAGATAAACTTGATAACCCCTCAAGGGTCACGGTTTACATATCTTGACAACTAGCAAAGATCATAAATGCCGATGAAAGTACGGACACAATTACAGGAGATAAACTTGATAACCCCTCAAGGGTCAGGACGTCAACGGTTTACATATCTTGACAACTAGCAAAGATCATAAATGCCGATGGAAGTACGTACTCGACGTGACACAATTACGGGAGATAAACTTGATGACCCCGCAAGTACCCGATAAGTGACTTTAGTTATGCGAGTGGACCTTTTACACAATCAGGGCCAGGACGTCAACGGTTTACATATCTGCCGGACAACTAGCAAAAGATCATAAATGCTGATGGAAGTACGTATTCGACCAGTCGACCTGACACAATTACAGGAAACCCCGCAAGAAAGTCGTAATTTAATTTGAAAAAGTATCCTTCTCATAAATAAATCTTGAGTCAAATAATAATAATTTTTTATTTTTTAAAAAAAATAAATATATATATAATAAATATCGTATAAATAAAAATATAAATAAAATAATAAAATAAATGAAATTTTTTTTTTTTTTTTTTCACAATGCATAATTTGCAGTAAAATCATTATAAAATGGTTCAGTCATTCTAACCATTACTTCAGAATATTTTCGAACTTTAACAAAAGATTCAAATTCTTTTGATTTTTCTTTTTCTTTTGAATTATTACCACCTAAATCCCATTCAAGAGTATCAGCACCTTTACCAATTCTATAAGAAAAATATTTTATACTAAACATTTCAATAATAAAATCTTTTAATAATTTTAAATTTTCATCTAAATAAAATTCTCTTGAATTTCTAAGTAATAATTTTTTTAAATTCTTAATATGTTTAATATTATTTAAAAAAATTTCAAGATTAATAGGATCAATTATTAAAAATAAATCAATATATTCTAAAGTAGGAGGTAATAATTGACCAAGTTGTTGTAATAAAAGGGTACTTGTTTTTTTCATATTTTGAATAACATTAGAATCATCATCTTCCATATAAGGAGTAGTTATTCTTATACAATCAATATCAAGGGTAAGATATTTTAAAGTATTACTAAAATTTAAAATCAAATCATTTAAATCTGGAATATTATCATGATTTAATTTTGTAAAATGAATAAATTTAATTTTTTCACAATAATGTAAAATACTTTGAAATATATCTTTTTTAATATCAAAATCTATTGATAAAATCAAATTTTCTAAATGACTACCAATTTTATGTAATAATAATTGATATTGTAATATATCAATATATAAATTACCACGTGTAATATAATTATTATTATTAACAATTGCTAAAGTTTTAATTCTAAGATTCTTGATTTCTGATAAATGTTGAACAATTTCCAATTTCAATACAGGATAACAATGAAAGAATTGTAAAGATTCCAAATTTTCAAGATATTCAAGACCTTGAAAAGATTGTATATTAGTAAAATGACATGAATCAAATATAAGACATGTTAAAGTATGAGCAACGCTTTTCAAGTTTGATAAAGAATCTTGAAAAACTTCTTTGTTGAAAGTAAAGGTAAGTTTTGAAAGTTGTTTTTGTGAACCAATGAATTTTGATAAATTTTTTGAAGCTTCAAAACTAAAATTTGGTATTACTTGAATTTTTAAATTTTTAATCAAGTTACATAATGATGGTAAAAAAGTAATTAAGGGTAATATAGACATTCTCTTCGATTCAGTAATTGTAAAACTTTGTCTTTGATAAGGTGGTAAACTATAATGAAAGGTAAAATTTTCAACTTCTGAAATAAATTTTGAATTATTTTTAATCATTTCATATACATCATACATGAAATCGAACCCATGCTTATCATTTTTACGATGAAGAATTATTTCAAAAGTATTTAATGTTGCAGAATTTGAAATAAATAATTTAATCAGAGCACAACAAACAAATCGTTTTAATCTGTTCGATTTTTCAAGTTTCGCATCTTGAGCCTTTACTAATCTTGTTAATTGACGATGAATATTAGGTTGATGTCGTGAAATTCGTCGTGATCGTGATCGTGGTTGTAATGTTGGTATTGGTAAAAAATTTAATGGTGGTGGTTCATTTAACCTTATTTTTTCTGATGGTGTTACTATCTCTCTTTTCAAATATTTAAAATTTGTTGGTAATGAATATGTTAATACAGGATATGTCCCACGTCTTGGAATTGGAAGTATTCTATTTTGAAAATCTTGTCGAATATTTCCACTACTATTTTTAATACTTGATGGAAGTGGTGGAAATTCGTTTGATATCCAAGATGGTAATATTACTGATCTTTCACATAAACGTGGTCGTGGTGTTGTCCTTCTAGTATTTTGAAGTGGTGGTAAATTACAATATAATGAATTTCCTTTCTTTCGATTCAATTTTGGTGTTTGTTCAGTAAATAAATCTATCCAATCAGATACAATTAAATCAAGTTTATATGTACTCAATGATTTAATAAAATGTGGATAATTAAATAAAGGTGATGATATGAAATCAATTCTATTGATTTCAAATACTTCTTTAAATATATTCTTATCAGCTTCACTAAGATAATATAAATAAAAATCTATAAAATGATAATTCAAATGTTTTTTATATTTAGAAATAGAAAATGGATCTCTCCATAATAATGGAATAGATAAACGACACCATATTCTATTTACTAATATACAAGAATATAATGTTGAATAATCATCATGAAGATATTGTAAAATTTCATTGATTATTTCTGGTAAATCTCCTAGAGATGATTTCATATATGTCATCGTTTTAGCAAGTTTAGGGGAAGGGAAAATTTTTTTTTTTTTTTTTTTTTTTTTTTTTTTTTTTTTTTTTTTTTTCTTAAGAAAAAAAAAATTGAAACCGTCGATAAAAATTAACCCTTTTTTATCTTTATTATGTTATATAACCGGTTTGAGTACATAATCAACCACATTTAGTTACAATGATAAACAAGAATTTACATGTGAAATTCGAAACTTCTTCGTTGTACAATTCCTTCATGTCAACCAAATTTACTTGACGGTTAATTATTGATGTCAAGTCACATGATTATTTATTTCTCCGTTAGGAAAACAAGGAAATAGAAATACTGTAGGCTGTTGCCCAAACGTGACTATGTCCTGGCCATACTTCCAGGACATGGTTATCGGGTCTGATTTGGGATATCGATTAAAATTTCTTACAATCAAACTCGTTGTAAAAAGAAATTAATTTCTTGAATTGTGTAAATCTTCCTTTGAAATCATGTCATATATCATGTTTCACTTAACCTATCATATAATAGAAAGGAATAATCAATGTGAAAAAAAAATTAATTTTAAAAATGAGTCTTTTATAGTTAAGAGTTACGATCTGGTGATTCTGGTCAATCCGCAGATGTCAGATGGGTAATCACATGGACTTTTATACGATGTACTCGTGGGATACCTAAAAAAAATATTCGTTATAAATGTGCTTTTGAAATTTTGACCTCGATTTGGTCTCAAATCAAATTTGTGAACAACCCATGTCCTAATATTATATGGACAATATATGATTGGTTCTAATCTTGCCATGATAAATTGATAATGGTATATTTTTAGACTTTAGTAAATATTTTATAGACATCATATGGTATTTGCGATGCAGATTATTAACCGTTGTAACACTATAATTTAAAAATTTTACCTCCACGTGACCATTTAAGGGGCCGGTATGAATATTTTTTGGTCACGTGAGGTTAGAAAATTTGTTGGTGTTACTGTAGTGCTGCCAACCAATATTTTATTTAGTGGCTTTAATTTATTGGTTAACATATATTTATAATTATGCTTTACAAGAATTTTGATATATAATATTAAATACAGATAGTATAATTTTATCTACAACTTTTTCCAAATCATAATTATCTCAAATATCATCATTTTTAAAATTATCAAATATTTTATTATCAAACTTTCTTCAGTAATCTGTATTTTTTTTTTAATTTTTTGCTTTTTGTAATATTTTACATGCAAATATATGATTTTTTTTTTACTTTTAATACCAATCAGTATAATGAAAAAAAATAGAAGGAGATTTATTCCAATTTAAGAAATTTTGGCTTAAATTATAAATTTTAAAAGTTTTATCTGTTATTCTTTTAAAACTTTATACTTTAAAAAAATTAATTTTTTCTATTATTTTTTTTCTCTTTTTTTTTAGATATTAGCTTTAACTCTTCATTCTGAATCAGTAAGTTTTAAAAGTTTTGTTCTTTCAAAACTTTTTTTTTAAAAAAAAAAATATTTTTTTTTTATGTACATATCAACTTAAACTTTTATATAATTTTTGTATAGTGACCAAATTTAATATATAATTAAAAATACCTGCTAATATTTAGAAAGTAAAAGAATTAAGCAAAATCTTTATATAATATAAAATTAAACATTTTTATTAATTAAAATTAATATTATATATATAGGACCCCGGATATCTAATATAAAGGTCATAATGGACTTTTGGCCAAAAACACCCCTTTTTGCTAAAACTCAAAAAATAGTATTTTGTAAATATCTAAGCATCCAAAAATTCAATTTTAATGAACTTTTTTTTATTTTGTAGCCCTCATTTAGCTCTACAATTTAAAAAAAAGTTCATCAAAATTGGACCACTGGATGCCGAGATATTTACAAAAAACGATTTTTTGAGCTCCTGAAAAATGGGCCAATCTGCCGAAAGTGTGACTTATGACCTGTTTTGGAGATATCCGGGGTCCTATATATATTATTGGTTTAAAAAAAATCTTATCTAAAGATGGAAGAGTAAAGTTCCTTATAAAACTAATATTAGCTAATAATATCTGATATGTTATTATTTTAACTAATAAAATAAATTCATATAATAAATCAAATGCATAATAAATTAATATATATGATCTAATAATTGATTGAAAGGTTAAATATAAAGTTTTGAACAGGTTAATCAAATTCAGATTACCTAACAACTGAGTTGTTGACCTAAATTTACTAATTCAAATTAACATTGCAATTTGATATTAATACAGGTTGTAATATTAATATAACCTGAATAACCTGTTGACTTGAAACTAATTTTAGTAAAATAAAGAAAAATATTGCAATTTAATATTATGTTTCATAAGTTATAAAAATATGCTATATTATAAATCATAAATTAAAATTTAAAATACTAAAATATTACTGTACAGATATCAAATTTGAATTAATATAATAATAATTATTTTTACAAATATAATGTAATTTGCTGTATTATAACAGATATATTATATTATTTAATTAATATATATAAATTTATATAGTTTTTTATTATTAAAAAAAATTCTATTTAATATTTATATTTAAAAGTTTATTTTTACTATAATATTATATTAGTTAATTCAGATAATGAAATATTAGGTATTAGGTTATAAATTATTATAACATATTATTCAAATATTATAAATCTAATATAATTTAATGTGTAATATTAAAAATTATATATATTAGTATTTGATATAGTAATAGTTTTATCTGATAATATACTGATATTTACTCATTAAAATTTTGGAAAACTTATTGGTATTCAATAGGTTATTAATGTTTATATGATATTAGTCTAATATTATGTGTAATATATCAGTAAAACATATTAAATTATTAATATAAAATATCTAAACAGTAAAAATAATAAGTCTTTTTTTATTATTTTTATTAAAGGAATACTCTTTTTTTTTCAGGAATTTCAAAAGTAATTTCAGAATTTTGAAAATAATTTTGAAGTTTTGAAATAGTTTTGAAATTAACTTTATAAAATAAATTCAGTAAAAATCACTACTGATAAAATTTAGTAATATTTAACTTTAAATACTAAAGTAAAAATATTTTTTATGGCAAATCTCTATCAATATTAAAGCTAAAAATACAATTTACTAGTATTAGAATCCTCTTATCCTCAAAATAAATCTAATGATATAAATTTTATTAAAATTAAATTACTGATTATGTTAAAAATAGGAGTATATAGGATAATAAAATTTTGAAAATACTTCTATAATATACAACTTTTAAAAAATTTTAATATAAATTCTAAGTAAACTTAAATGTAAGTTGTATTAGTATTGTTTAGGATTCTATCAAGATACTTCATACTTATACATTTATTAAAATAATACTTTATAAA